TTATGCTTACGCATTATGCGTTGTATGTAGTACAGAAGTGTGTGCTCCCCGCTATAGCCTTTATGCCCGTATCAAGTGGTATCACACTACGGATTGGGATTGAGATTGGATTGAAATTTGACCAATCAGAGTAAAGTTTACTAAACTTGAGATCAGTTTTCTCTGTTCTATTGATTAAATTTTAATCCAATCTGTAGTCTGATACGGACTTTAGGCTGGCGTCCCATGAAGCGGAAACGGAACGAGCGTATCACCAATCACGGGACCGTTTCGACCATGGGTTTCGACGGAATCTTTGACAGGGTTCTATTCAGAATGATTCCGTGATTGGTGATACACTCGTTCCGCGTTCCGCGTATTCCGCTCCATGGGACGCTAGCCTGTCATAGAAGGCGCCAGTGGCGCCTTCCACGCCATTGTCTCTCGCAGTTTCCTTTCATTTCCTTTCTTCGCGCACGTCGTTCCTATTTGAAGAAAATCCGTCAAGATGGGTCGTATGCACTCGCACGGGTAACGTAACAATATTTGTAAAGTATTATCGATGCGATCTTTCGTTCGCAACAACGCTCGCGATTTTCGCGATACCAGATTTCTCATAATCGAGATGTTCCGACGGCGTGACCGTTCGGCAACCATGTGTTTACAGCTCCGTTGTCCGTTCTTGCCGCTTGAATGATGAATTATCCTCCGATCTGTCGAGTTTATAGCGTATAACTGTCAAACTTTGTTCATGATTTGGCTTCTTACATGCGCCGTAGATCTCGGTCTGAATCGAGCACACCGCTTCTCCGAGTACATAACCTAGCACGTGCACGCGGTGCAATTTGCGCTAGATAACCCCAAAGTTAAAGATGTCTTGTATTCCTCGCATCCAGGCGAGGATATTCCCCTCTTCTACCAAAGATGTTTGGTTTAATTGTGATGGCGGAGTACTGTATGACGGCGTAAAAATTCATCCCATAGATGCCGAGGGAACACTTCGATAATAAAGAGCTTAATTTTTTATTATCATTCATTTTTATAGAATGTTTATGTCCAGGTAGCTGAATGACGTCTAAAGACGTCTTTATGACGTTTTATTGGCGTTAGAGATGTTATTAATATGTCATTTGACGTCACTCTGCTACCTAGATGGTGTTTTTGAGAAACCACTTTTTAAATATTTCTTAGATGTTATATTATTAGCATTTTAAAACGATTCTAAAATGGTTTATTCTACATAAATCTATATAGAATAAACCATTTAATTATATATATATATATTAATTATATATATATATATGGAAAGTACCCGATTATGAGATACCATATCTATTTTGTGTGATTGCCGGAAGTCTATGGGCAGAATTGAAAAATATAGTAGGTTATTTTGAAGGGAATTTAATAAGCTTTAAGATGCTGAAATGTAAAATTTAATTTAAATATTAATTTTGCTGAAAATTAGAAAAATGTGAAAAATGAGCTTTCGGCAAAATCGCAAAAGTGTGCTCCTAATATGTTTCTCCAATACACATGTGATGCAGAAGCATATTTGCAACAATCGTAAACCCACTTATACTCAATATTGTACCTAATCTTTTCCCTCCACCCTTCCCTCTCAAATCAAGGTCAGCACAGTCTTATAAATTCGTATAAACCTTCCCTTAAAGTTAATATAGTATTTTCTCTTTTTTTATTACTATACAATAACTTTCATACTCCAGCAACCCAGGAGTACCCTGAGTATCTCATGTTACGAGCACCACGCCTTGCGGTTTCACGATCACCAAATCTAATCTCTACAATTGAGCAACTCAACATATCCCGTATTTTCCTATTAATACGACCTTACTCTGTCGCTGCATGCAGAACTTATTGCCAAATATTTATTAATTATATAATACACAAGGTTTAAAGACTCATATTCATGACACTTGACAACATCCAATTTCACAATTTCTTTCTCTGCAACGACTACACGCACGATCAAACAATGAATTTTTCACTAAATAGATTTTATCCCAAAGGCAATAAGTTCATGGTCGAACCAACAGATAGGGCCTATTAGTTTAGCAGAAATTTCGCTGTCGCATATTAGGAGCCTATCTCATAATAGAGGACTTTCCTATATATATATATACACATACATACATACATATATATATATATATATTGTGTATATATATATATATATATATATACCTATATATATATATGAATTTAATTATTATATATAGAATTACTTAAAAATTTATAAATAATTTATTTAATGATTATCTCTTTTAGAAAGGGTATATCCCAGTCGGCACTTCCCTACCGACGAAGCGTACCAACTTGGTTGAAGTTGACGCCGGAGGATTGCAAAGAACTTATTTACAAGCTAGCAAAAAAAGGACATACACCGTCTCAAATTGGTAATTTTAATAATCCATTTATGCTTTTACTGTGATAAAAGATAAAAGTCACATCAAGGTTTCTGAACTCTCCGCTATCATGCGAGATCGTGAAGTCATTCTTGTATGTCATTTCCAAATAAAAAGATATTTGCGTAAAATAACTTAGATCACTTCAACACACTTCAAAAATACTCCGAGATCTATCCCTTTTCCTTGACAGTTAATAAACAGCCGTAAAGTGAATGTAATACGAATGCAGGCTTATGTGCGGACACATGACTAGGCTTTGTATCACATTCATTTTACGGCTGTTTGTTAACTGTCAAGGGAAAAGAATAGTCCTCGGAGTATTTTTGAAGTAATCTAAAGTGTTTTTTTAAGTGATCTGAAGTGTTATTTTACGCAAATATCTTTTTACTTTGAAATGGCACACAAGAATTCTCAGTGTGTCATTTCTCGCCTCTAACATCACGATCTCACATGATGGCGGAAAAAGCTCAAGAGTGTTAATTTGCTTAAGTGTTAATTTGTTAAGAGGAACTAGTATATCTGAAAGCAAACTGTCCAGGAGATCTTAGAATCTTTAATTTGATCTCCTTAACCAAACACGTTTGCAAGATAAAAAGCGGTGTTTGATGTGAATACGATAACTCGTCGTTTCACAATAGGTCATCACTGACATTTGTAGAACATTATCAAATTTAAGAATTGTTAAAGTGGCAAAAAGAAATGTATATAATGTATGTATGTATGTGTATGTGTATATATATATATATATATTTTTTTTTTAAGGTGTCATCCTTCGTGACTCGCATGGAGTGGCACAAGTGCGATTCCGCACAGGAAACAAGATTCTGCGCATCGTGAAGAGTATGGGCCTGGCCCCCGATCTACCAGAAGATTTGTACTACTTGATCAAAAAGGCCGTTGCCGTGCGCAAGCATCTGGAGCGAAATCGCAAAGATAAGGACAGCAAATTCCGTTTGATTCTCGTCGAGTCGAGAATTCACAGGTTGGCACGTTACTATAAAGCAAAGGGATCTCTGCCGCCTAATTGGAAATATGAGAGTTCAACAGCCAGTGCTCTCGTAGCCTGATTTTGTTTATTGTATTTACATATTATGCTTTAATAAACTCCGGAGACACTAATTTAATTTTTTTTCTAATACTACGAATACGCTAATATGATACTTTCTTTCTAATACTACCGTTTTTCTAATGCTATCAAATTATTAACGTTATGTATCAGTGCTGTC